CAACTTTTAATTGGTGTAGGTGGTGGTAATATATCAAAACTACACTTTGAGATGATTAATGCCAAGCAGAAATGTGCATTTTAATTATATGCAAGGACATACTTATAAGTTCAGTATGCATTTTTAAAATTTTCTCCATCAGTTTATTAAATTTAGAATCCTTTGATGTGAAACTCAAATATAAATGCATCTTATGGGTACTTATTGACTTAGAAAAACACAATTTAGCATTACCTATGTTGTATTGTCTTTTTATTGATTTTCTCAAACATTTCCCAATTACATTTTGATGTAGGAAGAACTCCAGTGTTTTTCAAGCATCTTAGGGTCTCGGACAATAAGTTTGACACTTCTGGATAATCAACTAAGTAATAAATACTGATTTGGAGCAGTTGTGTGTTTCTTAGATTGCAATGCTCACACTGAAAAATTTAAAAATCAGTTCTTAAGAGTTGGTTTGAGCTGCCTCTAACACATCCTTGCTGTGTAGTGTTTATATAACACACACACACACACACACACACACACATACACATATGGATTGATAGACAGACAAAAATGCTGTTCATCTGGAACAGCATAGACAACGAGAGATCAAGATAACTAGACATATTCATCAGAAGCACCTGGTTATAAGACCCATCTAATCAAGTTGTTTACATTCATAAGTGCTTTGAGTGTACATGCTAATTACAAGTCCACAGAGGGTACCTTATATTAACTATGCCTCTATGACAATTACAAAGTGACATTCAGGTGTAAATTACTCATAATAACAATGAACACAAGATATTACAAGAAAGAAGGAGATCCAGGGCCAGGCTACAGAGCTGTAAAAACTCAGGGAAAAAAATCAAATGAAGGTAATATTTCTTGGAGGTAGCTACCAGGCAGAGAGAGGGATGTAGTGCTAAATTTAGCATGTAGGATCATATAGGAAGGTACCAGACAGCTGGGAATGAGACAATCAAAAGAAAAGTGATATTAGGAGGCCCTACAAAAAAAAATTAGATGGTTTTGACTATTACAAAAACATGACATGAATGTTGTTTGGCATTAATAAATTCTTTAATAACATGAGCTGGGTATGATTGCTTGGGAGTATAGAGAATCATGTGCTTTATAAGGAGTATGTTTCAGGTTTGGGGGATGGTGTCTTGAACCAAGAAAAAAAATCAGTTAAACTTTCAGAAGCTATTTTGCGAAGAAAGAATAGACATTGACTCAGGTTTTTAAATGTTGGAAATTTGTTTGCAAAGATCGTGATAATCCTGCCCATAGGAGAGTCTACAGATCCAATACCAGTGAAACAAACAAAAATTAAATGTCTACTGTTTGTAAAGTAATTCATGGTATGCCATGGAGATGAAAAATAAATGGAAGGTGGGAAGAAAGGAAAAAGGGAAGGAAGAAAAGAAAGAAGAAAGGAAAGAATGAAAGAAGGAAGTAGGAAAGGAAGGAAATAAAAAACGAGGGAGGTAGGGAAGGAAAAGGAGAAGAAAGGAAGGACACTGAAAAGGAAGGAAGAAAGGAAAGAAAGATGGAGGAAAGAAGGAGGAAGAAAGAGAAGGAAGGAAAGAAGCAAAACATGGTCTGCCTTCAAGGAGCTTCTGTTTTACAGGATTTATTTTGCTATAGCCTTCTGGGTTCCATTCACTGATGGGTCTGCATTTTTTTAATGAGATACTCTTGGGTTCTATGTTAACTACATCTGTGGTCATCTCTGCATGGATTCTGTGGAAAATGATTTAATGGGTATTCAGGTCTAGTGAATAAATTCAAGTTTATTGAGTCAGATGACTCCATGAAACAAGCAAACAAAAAAGATTATATATACTAATAATTCTATACTTCTATCCAAAGTTTGGTCCTTTTATTTTGTACTTTCACATATTAGTTAGGAAGGAGAAAGAAAAAAGATGGTTTTCCTTAACTTATTTTGGAGAGCTTTTCTATAGGCAAACACTTATAATTTGGACCACATGCCAAGTAATTTAAAACTGGCTCTAATGTATTTCTTAATGCTTGTGACTGTAATTTCAATCAAAGGAAGGCCAAAATAAATTGTAATATAATATTACAATATATGCACAATACTGAATAATAATCTGCCTTACTGGATAGTCTATGACTTTTTAAAATAAATTAAACTAAATATCCCCAATTGATAAATGGTCAAAGGATATGAAAAGGCAGTTCTCAGATGAAGAAATTAAAGCCATCTATAATCATATGAAAAAATGCTCTAAATCACTATTGATTAGAGAAGTGCAAATCAAAACAACTCTGAGGTACCATATCACACCTATCAGATTGGACAACATGACAAAACAAGAAAATGATAAATGTTGGAGAAAATGTGGGAAAAGTGGAACACTAATGCATTGTTGGTGGAGTTGTAAAATGATCCAAACATTTTGGAGAGCAATTTGGAGCTATGCCCAAAGGGCTATAAAAATGTGCATACCCTTTGACCGAGCAATAGCACTTCTAGGGCTATATCTCAAAGAGATCATACAAATGGGAAAGGGACCCACATATATAAAAATATTTATGGCAGCTCTTTTTGTGGTGGCAAAGAATTAGAAAGTGAAAGGATACTCATCAGCTGGGGAATGGCTGAACAAGTTGTGGTATGTGAATGGAATGGAATGCTATTATGCTGTAAGAAATTATGAACAGGCTGACTTCAGAAAAACTTAGAAAGACTTGTATGGTCTGATGCTGAAGGAAATGAGCAGAACCAAGCGAACATTGTACACAATAACAGCCACATTGTGTGATGACTAATATTGAAAGTTAACCCTTCCCAAAAGCATGATCTAAGACATCTCCAAAGGCCTCATGATGGAAAATACTATCCACATCCAAAGAAAGAACTATGGAGTTTGAATGCAGATCGAAGCATGCTATTTGCTATTTTTTTTCTTCTGTTGAGTTTTGTTTCCTCTTTCTGGTGGTTCCTCCTATTGGTTCTAATTCTTACAACATCACTAATGTGAAAATATGTTTAATAAGAATGTGTATATATATATATATATATATATATATATATATATATATATATAGCCTATATCAGTTTGTGTGCCATCTTGGGTAGGGAGGTGGGGAGGAAGAGGGAGAAAAATTTTAAACTCAAAAGCTTATGGAAGTGACTGTTGATAAATCAAAATAAATTAATAAAAAATAAAAATAAATAAAAAAGAAACAAAAGGAAGAAAAGAAAGGAAGTGGAAAGGAAAGAGAAGGGAAAGAAGGGAACAGAAAAAAAAGAAGGAAAAGGAAAAGGAATAAGAGAAAGGAAAGAAAAAGGATAGGCAAAAAGGAAAGGAAAGAGAATAGAAGGAAAATAAAAAAGAAAGCTAAAAGGAAACAAAGGGAAGGTAAGAGAGAGGATGAAAGTTAGAAAAAAAGGACAGAGAGAAAGGGAGGGGAAATAGGAAGAGAAAGAAAAGGAAAAACAAAGGAAGAGTAAGGGGAAGGAAGTGGAAATAATGGAAAGGAAAATGGGAGGCAAAAAGGAAGGAAAGGAAAGGATTGGAAAGGCAAAAGGACAGGAAAAGGAAAAAGAAGAAAATAAAGAGAAAAAATAAGTAGAATATTACTTAAATGGACTTTCTTAAACAAATATTGAGGAAATCCCCCAGGAAAAAAATAAAATAAAGTAGAACTTCGTTATAATGATCCTATTATAATCTGAAAAACCCCTATTCTAATCTGAATTCAGATTGACAGCAGATCATGTCATAGTGCCTTAAAATGGAGCAACTAGTAAGTTGTTCTTTCAGCAAATATTTATTAAGTACTTACTATGTTCCAGACACTGTGCTAGCTCTTCGGATATAAAGGCAAAAAAGAGCTCCTTTCCTCAAGGAGCTCACTATTTAACATCCTGATATGTTGAGAGAGGAGAGTTGCATATCATAAAGAAAAGAGATTTAGACTCTGGCTTCATGCTGCATATGCAGATATTTAAAAGTCCATCTACAGAAAATATTTAGCTTTTTTTTTTCAAATGATGAATTTCTTCTGTTTGATGGTTTAACAACTATGCAGGTTTCCAAGAGAACATAAGATGTTAAGAGATTTTTTTTCTATTTGAGCATTATCCAATATTAGTTTTAGTAATATGGCAACCATAGCAGATAAGAGGATAATGTGTGATTTAGAATTAATTGTCTTGTGATAACAGTCTTAAGAATTATCCCTAATTACTCTGGAAAGCAAAATAGGTTGAGTATCTGTTACACTAAATTTTGTTAATCCTGCCTGACACCAGGTAAATTTCCACATATGATATTCACATGCTTAGATTTACAACAAAATAAATAATCCAGGAAATAAAATTCCAAGTATATAAAATATAAGTATTAAGAGTCAATTTCTGTAAAGATACTCCTTGGATGACTTTTTTTTTTTAATCCATGATCAGTTTTCCTCTACAGTATCTAGCATTTGTCTGGCCATTTCCCCACACTTTCCAAACAGTGTGTGCCCAAAAGATGCAAAAATAATCAGCAAGGCAAATCTGTTGCCAAAAGATTATACAATTCATTTCAAAGTCAAAGAGAAATGAAGTGGGTCAACTGCAAATAAACAGAGCAGAAAAAAATTCAGTTCAGGACTATGAGTTTCAATTATGAATGAAAGTCTAATGACAAATTTACAAGATTTTCTACAGAGGAAGAAAAGGTGATGAGAGAAGGGATTGAGATGAGATAGAGAGATGGGGTCAATAACAATTTCTCACATTTTACAAAGCACTGCACAGAAGATGAGTGTGTGGGTGATTAGCTGAAGAGGAAGACCAAATTGTGGCATTGTCCTTTAAGAGTAATATCAAAGAATACTAAGTTCTAAAAGTAGAGGCTTGCCAAGAATATAATAACTAAAGGGGTCTTTTTTAAAATATGTTTGTGGTAAAAGAAAGATGAAAGAAATTATAGAATAGTGGATAAGATGGTGACAATGAACAATAGAAAATAAGTATAGATATTCACCTGATTTTGTTTTTATTCCCTTCATGTGGGAGAATGGTCTTCAGTCAAGGAAGTGTAGAATGAAAATAAGTAAGTTGAAAATTAAAACCTGAGTCAAGCTTACTAGAATGATTAATGAATGGAATGCCATAGACATGAATGATTTACATTTTCAGAAGACACTGTATCCTTGTGTTCAAGATGGAGAGATATGAGTTGGATAGTACACTAACTAAGTATACTTAAGATCTGGCTAAAGAAATAGGTAGCATAATTATTGAATTTCACCATAGCATTTAACTTGGACTTAAATTAAGATGATTAATGACAGTCATGGTTTCTCAAAAGATCTAAACATATTTCAACAAGAGGTCAAGCTTAACAAGGTAAAATTTAATCAGGGTAAATATATCCTATAATCTGGTTCAAAAAGTCAACTACAAAAGAACACGTTCTTGGAGATTTATCTAGAGAATATTTCATGTGAAAAAAAAGAGCTAAGAGTTTGAGAAGACTTCAAATTCAATATAAATAAATAGCGTGAAATAGCAGGTCCCCCCAAAAGCTGCCATCAACTGTAGAATCCTTTAGGAGAAATATGGCTCTAAATGAGGGAGATTTTATTCACATTGTACTCTGTGCTATCCAGACCCTACTTGTAGGTTTTACTCAGGGTGCAATACGCAGAAGGACATGAAACCAAGATGTGTACACTGAAAGACAGCCAGGATAGTGAAAGCCTGACATAACAAATTGGTTGAAATCCCCTAAAAAATTTAAGCATGAAGAAATGATAGTTATTTTCAAGTATTAGAGAGACTGATTATCAGATAGAAGAGGGATTTAATTTTTTTAACTTGGCCCTGGAGTGGAGATCTTGGAACGATAGATGAAAACAGCAAAGCAGCAATTATCAGACTCTCTAGAAGAAAAGAGAGCTGGTTCCAAAGCCAGAAAGATTTACCTTCAAGTCTAGACTCTGACATGTATTGGCTGTGTGACCCTGGGCAATTCCTTTGACCTCTCAGTGTGTACTAGGTGTCTCTCTAAAATACATTTCAGAAAAGGCACCAATTTGCATTGGTGGAAGCAACTTCCTCCTTGGGAATTCCCTATACCATTGAAATCTGATGGCTTTCACATTTATATTTCCCTATCATATAGCTATCCCTATCCATATCCTTTAGAAATAAAAAGCTCCTAACATTTAGAATAGTCCAAAAGGGAAATGGGCTCCTTCAGAAGGTGATGGGTGGTGGGAACTGAATGACTGCAGAGCATGTTTTAAGGGTTATTCCTCTTCAATCTAAGGGCTGGATTATTTGACTTCTGGGGTTTTCATCCAACTAGAAGAGTTTATGATTTTTGGAATGTTTTAAAGCTACTTTTCTTTTTTCTGGAAGGATATTTTTTTGTACTAGTGCTTCTTCACTTGATAGGATTTCTCTCTTTTCATTTGTGAGAATTTGGCCTCTTCTCCAAAGATACTATTTACTTCCAAAATCAAAAATTACACAAACCCTTCAAGCTACTGAATGACTGACTACTTTGACTACTTAATATACTGTTATATAATTCTTCCCCCTACCAGAAATAATTTTTTTCTAGTGGTGGCTCAAAGCACTTTTATTTGGGACAGATTTTGCTGAGTATTACAGAACTCTGCACTGCCAAGTTTCTAAACATTAAAGAAGTTTTTAATCTTTTTTTGACTTCTGCCTTTGGAATGCCCAATGATTACCAAGTTTCCATATCAACAATTACCAGTCAAAGAATGTAAGAATTTAAAAAGGATCTTAGAAATCATCCTTTCCAACCTACTCATTTAAGAACTGACTCTGTCAGGCACTGTGTTAGATGGTATGAACACAATTATAAAAGGCAAACAATCATTCCCTTCAAAGAGCTGACATTCAACTGAGTTGACACAAGTAACTGAGAAGTAAATGGAGGATATATACAAAATATATACACTATGATTTGAATGGAGGTGGAATAGGGTGGGGCACTAACACCTGGGAGATTGAGGGAAAGCTTCTTAAAGGAGTTAGTGATTGAACTGAGCCATGAAACAATTCTTTCACAGTTATTACAAGGATCAAATGAAATAAAATTTGTGAAGTACTTACCACAATGCCTAGCATGTAGTGTTATTGTTATTATTCATTCATTTCACTTGTTTCTTCATAACCCCATTTGGGGTTTTCTTGCCAAAGATACTGGAGCACTTTGCCATTTCCTTTTTCAGCTCATTTTATAAATGAAGAAACTGAGGCAAACAGGATTAAATGACTTGCCCAGGGTTACACAGCTAGTAAGTGTTTGAAGTTAGATTTGAACTCAAGTTTTCTTGACTCCAAGGCCGGTGCTCTATTCACTGCATCATCTAGCTATTCCCACATTTTTCACATTCTGATATAAATGTCTAACTATGCTCACTAGTCCATTGTTTCTCTGTCATGAGGTAGACAACATTCTCTCTTTCATTTTTATCAGTTCTTAGGCATCCTGTTTGATTAGTTGATCTCAACTCATAACTCTTTAAAATAATGCTTTTTTATAATATTGATGTTATAGTATAAATTTTTCTTCTGCTTTACTCTGTTTAAGTATTTCAAGTCTCTTTGAAATCATCTTTTTTCTTCACTTTTACAAGATAGAATTCCAATACTTTCATATATTATATTGTACTTATACATTCCCTGATTAATGGGCTTCCTTTGTTTCCAGTTTTTTGCTGTCACAAGAAAAGCTGATTAGATAGATAGATAGATAGATAGATAGATAGATAGATAGATAGACAGACAGACAGAAAGACATCTCTGTGTGTATGCATGTGTCTATATCTGTCTGTCTGAAAATATATTCTTCTTGGTTTTTTTTTTGGCTTATAGACATAGGCTAGCAGTGCTAAAACTAGGTCAGAAGACATATGTTAATTAATACCTTTTTGTCTATAATCCCAAATTACTTTCCAGAATGGATGCAACCATTCATAACTCTAAGAGGACATCAGCATGCCTATTTCCCCACAGTCCCTCCAAAATTTTTCATTCTTTAAAAAAAAATTGTGAATTTTATGTGTGCAAGATGGAACCTTATAATTGCTTTAATTTGAATTTATTTCTCTATTGGTGATCCGGAACATTTTCTTTTCCAAAAGGCTATAGAGAGGCTGGTTTTTTTTTTCCCTTGAGAACTGTCTGTTTATATCCTTAGACCATTTATCAATTGGGAAACAGCTCCTTCTTATAAATTTGAACCAGTTCCTTATGTAGCTTGTATATGAGACCTTTATCAAAGAAATTTGCTGCAATAACTTTTTCCCAGTTAACCTTTTATCCTTTATTACTAGAAGTATTTGATTTGTTTATGCAAACTGATAAATTTTATTTGATGAAAATCATCCGTTTTTTCTTCTCTGATGCTTTCTATCCCTTACCTAATTTATACTAAAGTCCTTTTCCAAAGGATTTCTCCTTCTCCCACCTCAGTGATTGCCTGAATCATTGAGATGCATAGTCACTTCCTTGAGCAGGAAAAGAAAAAATTGAATCTAGAAAGGGAAGGAAATATTAAAATATTTTCTTTCCTTTACTTTCCCAGATTTTTTTATTGCTGGAAGTGCTAGTTGGCATATATGACCATGGGTTATGGAGAAAGTGACTAACAGAAGGAAAACCAAGGCCTAAGGCTTAAACTACAAATTATATCGTTTACTTCTCACTGAGCTTTGTTTGCATCTGAATAGTATTTGGCAAGGAATTTCAGAGTCAAACATGCAAATAAGGCAGTTAGTAAAATTGCCACTGAGCCAATGGGAACAAAATAAAGGTATACAGGTCATTGAAACAATCATTCATTTTTTGTTTGCATGTAATTTGAGACAAATTTAAATTGGCTAGATGTGGGTTCTTTTGACATTTTTCTTCAAACTGCTTATAGAAAGTGGGTTTGTTAATCAAAATAAGATTGAAATTATCTTAGAAATTTATGGAAAGCAACTTTTTAGATATTGAGAAGCATCTATTTATATATAATAATACTGATGTGGTCCAATTACAGATTATTCTTATCTATATATCTAGACAGTTTCTTCTTGTTGTTCAGTCATTACAGTTGTGTCCAACTCTTTGTGACACCATTTGGAGTATTATTGGCAGAGTTACTAGAGTGGTTGGTCATTTCCTTTTCCAGCTCATTTTATAGGTGAGGAAACTGAGCCAAATAGGTTTGAATGATTTGCCCAGGTCAACAGCTAGTAAGAATCTGAGGCCAGATTTGAATTTGTGAAGATGAGTCTTCCTGACTTCAGGTCAGAACACTATGCACTGAGACAACTAATTGCCTTGTGAGACAGATTCTTTAAAACTTCAATAGGTCACCTTTGATTTGCCCAGTTAAATCAATAAAAACAATTGAAAATAAAATGTATTTCTTTATAGAACAATCTATCTTTGTGGCATTTTACTAGTTTATACCAATCTGTCCAAATTACTCACAAAGAATTAGGTTTGATCTGCTTCTCAAACTCCTCATCAATTTCATTCCTCTCTCTTTGTCTCCCTCTCTTTCTGTCTCTGTCTCTCTCTCTCATACAGATAGATAGATTTCAGTGATAACAAAAACTTCTGTTATTTTTTATTTATTTTTACCAAATGATATCCTGCATGCATCCCTTAATCTGTTTCCTTGATTTCCTTGGTTGCATACAGCTACTTAGTGCATAATGCTATCCCACCACTCATTTCATATGTTCTTTTTCTTTTAAATAAGATAAACCATTAAAGAGATATATTGCAGGCATGGATCCCTTCCCATAGTGTGTCAATAATATCTATGAGGTTAAGTTCACCTTCTGGGTACACCTGTTAATTCACTGCATCATTCTTTAATATTTAAAGTCATCCACAGCATCATTCTTTAGTTTTTAAAATCATTTCCAATCTTGATTCCAAATGATTTTCAAGCCTGATAGTTTATAACCTCTATTCAAATACTTTGTACTCCAGGGGAACTGAACTAGTAGCTCTATGATTGATGAAGGCTAACATCTGTGTCTGGAAACCA